GCGTGACAATGACATACAAGATAAATGATGATGATGAAGATTTTTTAAACGGAAGACAAGAATTTGCGAATTATTATTATTACTTTCAATGATTTGGAGTTTCTTATCAATCAGCAGTATTAAACATTCATACATTAAATTTGGCATGACATAATATTTGCCTATAAAGGAAATACTTAGTATATGACGCAGTGTCTGCTGTGTTATGTTAATGGTTACTAAAAATATATTTGGTCATAATAAATTTAAATATGGCTAGCAATAGCAAAAATGTAAACATTAAAATTTAAATGGCAAAATAAAGGAAATCCAACGGATGTTCCCAATGTCAAAATTATTTGCATACCTAATTGACGTGATTGCAGATTGCAATTCACGTATGTACCTACTCATATGAAATCCAAAACACTGCCAGTATCTCCGCACATCGAATACTATATTATATACTAACTGTGCCCGCGGTTTCATCCGCACGAAATTTATAGCCTGTGTTATTGTAATGTATAAGCTAGATTACTGAAAAATTTCATCAAAAGCCGTCAGATATTTTTGCGTGAAAGAGTAACAAACACCCATCCTCTATCCATAGGGATGGATTGATCTCTATGGATAGATCTAAAAATTAATATTAGAGTCTCTACTCAAAAACTTTCGCTTTTATAATATTAATTTTAATGGTTGATTTGATGGTCTCGGTGGTCCAGCCCTTTAGCACACCGCTTTATTTCTGATGGTCTTGATAAATTCCATTACATATTATAATTTTATTATATTTATATACTAGTAGTACCCGCGAATTCGTATGCGTATACACGTAGGTTCGTACATCTGCAGATCGATATATATCGCAGGTGATCAGACGATAACAATAAATAAAGCACCTTTAATCTAATTAAAGAATGAACTAATAAGATAGATTAATTAATAATTTGTAGGTTGAGTGTTAAAAATTTTCTCATAATTTATTATAGCGCCTCTTGTGGGGTTTTCACAAAACTTTCTTTTTACATATTATGACCTATTTTTATAACATATTATGCGAAAATTTTATCGATAATTCCTCCAGACATATTTTGGTAAATGCTAATTACGCCTCGTCACAATTTTACGATTTCGTTAAATGAAAAAAATAAAGATTCACGTTTATTTATTTGATTGGTCTAACATTTACACTATCTACATCAAATAAAATTATAGATACCTACATTTTTTAAGAAGAAGAAGCTTTTTATGAAGTAGTCGTTTTAGTTTAGTTGCATAAATTAGTTTTATAGTTACTCGCAATATGAGGGAAAAACACGCGAAATATACATATTACAACTACATCTTACAGTTTCTTTTAAGGAACTGTTTAATTTATTAATATTACTGCAGTGATAAATAGACACGTTCTGTGAGAAAGTCTTAAGTAAACATAATGAATGTGTTAGAACATACAATAAATTCTCTACAATAGTGTTAATTTTAAGTAATCAACTTAAATTCAGTATTCATATAAATTATACGAAATTGCAAAAATATGCACCGTCAAAACTTCATACGAAATTTTACTTTATTTATTTTTTAGCATTTTTTAGTTAGGAAATTTTATACAATTGGTGTCAGACCCAGTTTCGCATGAGTATACTTACTAATTTGAAGGAACTAAACAGATAAAAGGTCAATTAACAGATATGAATTTATAAACCCAGTTTTTTCACTTTTATTTATCATTCTCGCAAAATCAAACACGACAATAATTTGCCAAAAATGTACAGTCATTCTGAAGTGATGCACTTACATTCGACAATTTATTTTAATAATATATGAATAAAATAATATTCCATTCAAAAAAAAAGTTAAATATAGAATATCACTCATTAATGCTCTAACAAAATGATAAATTTTAAATATATTATCCTCAGGCACTTGTATAATAAAAGCATTATCTCAAATCTTTGCTTTATACAACCTGGTGGCAAAACGCATTTAATTACAATGTTTGCTACCGACGCCGGTTATTGCTCTATTTACATTTTAAACTTTATATTTATATATATTAGCGGTTTAAATATAAACGCAACATATTTTAGTGTGTCATTCTCACCACGCTCGAGATCGCTCGGAATGATATATATCATAAAATTATAAAAATATAAATCATTTTTACAGGTCATCGACGCAATTACGATGTACATAATATTTGGAATTTTAATTTTCATTGTTTTAATTAAACTTACTATGCCCGCAAGTTTGAACTCGTATTCGGAATATTTGTTATTCCGCTTAGCTTTAATTTTATGTTATTTAAGTTTAAGTACACATTGAAATATTAAAAATACTTGGATAAAAAAAACTAATTTCAACATTAGAAACTTAGATCTCCTCACATTACAAGCCTTGTTATTCAGACTTTTCAGGCAATTCACGACCCGCACCTGGGTCTACGAGTATGATGTTGCTAGAATATGAATCATTTTATTATGGCTCAATTTTCTCGATCAAATTACTTATCATTATTAAGTAACGCGAAGACTAGACTTTTTTACTTTAGACTCTATTCTCTGTAGAGTTTGTTTTTATACTTGAACTTTTTAATAAAATACAATAAGTTTTTGAATGTAAGTAAACAAAGTTGTATACAACTTTCGAATGCCTCGCTCTCCAACATCGAGTCACGACTAGAACTTATTCAAGAGAAGGCAGTCTCTGCGAGTGAGTTTAATAAAACATCATCAGCTGTCGTATCTGATGACGTTTTGTTAAACTCAGATCAAGTTTAATGCAGTCGGTATTTTAGGATGCGATAATAGCTAATGTAGGAAGTCGGTGCATTGAGTTATTTTCTTGTATAAATGTCTATTTGCCTAAATCGATACACACAAATTAGTATGGGCACCTAACCTATTAAAACATTATTTTTAAAAAAAAAGAAAGAAACATTATTTTATTCAGTGCTCTTTATGATCTACCTTTAAGTTATGTATCAGTACATATACCTATACCTATGATATATATACCTACGTATGCATAAGTAGACAATGAGCACATTTATGTGATGTATTATTGTTAGTCCAATATTAGGTAATTTTATTATTAATGAATCCAGCGGCGGATTGTGAAAAAGGTCACATTAATTACTGTTAAAACAATTTATTGTTTAAAACCAAGGTTAATGAATAATTATTATTATAGTATACGAGCAATTTTCCAATTGTTTAGCTAGAAACAAACTATGTAACCAATTTGTATTGTCAGAAAGATTCCCACTTCATTTAATTTGTGTCAAGTGCGCCCATTTAATTGCTCTAGTCTAATTATTATGAATAAATATTAAACATTAATTCGTGTTTGTCTTCAGTTGTGCCGTCCAATTAGCTCGCCACAGACGAGGTCGAGACTTTAATGTATTCCGTTAATTACTCTGTATAGTTTGGGGTTTTAAACTCATTCAAATTATAGTGTCACATCTGTAGATGGGAATTTGAGATTTAATCAAAGATGAAGCGATAAAATCGACTATCGGAATTCACATATAGCAGATAAGCTCACATGCACCACATAATAATTACTCAATAATATGAATAGTCAGCTGTTTAGCATACTAACGGAAGTTGATAGTTTTTTTTAATTACATAAAAACTAGAAAATGGATTACTCAAGTATTTAATGAATTGTAAAGCAATATCAGAACTGAGCAACTTCATCTGGAGATGGGGTTGACTGAGTGGTGATCATGACACTGCGTGATATACCCATATTTCTGGGCATATTTGAATACAACGCGGTTGCAACATCGCGTTCAAAAGCATATTGGAGTATCCAGCACACCTATCATGGTAGGTCGTCGAGACCCGCGTCCGAAACAACAATAGGCGGCTGGAAGCACGCATTGTCTCATATTTCCCACAACGAAAATAAAAGTGAGAATTCAATCTTTTCCGAGCAGCATTAACGGTATTGTTACACAGTACAGTGAATCTAAATATTAAAATGTTAGCAACATCCGGGTTTGAAAACCATGACGGGCGTCGGAGGATTGTTTACAAAATAGCTCCTATTACATTCACGTAAATATTAACGGACTTAACAAATTTTCTTATTAAAGCGAATCGTGAGGAAAACTAGCGATAACAAAGTAGCAGAGGAGATACTAGCGCGGCGGGTGGAGCGTTGCAATGAAACCATAACGTTGGGCATTACGTAATTTGGCCAACAAAAGGCAAATATTCCGAGCCATTCCGCTGGTTTATGTGTGCGAGGCGAGTATTAAGGTAAATTGTAGCAACAATTGAGCGCACGGGCCACTCGTTAGCCGGCATGCTGCCGCTCCAGAGTCGGACGATGCGACGTGACGCGCGACCGCCAAATGTCGCATTGTTTCAGTTTTATGCGTAGCCGACCTTAGATTAAACGTTAACCGGATGATTTATGGCGGTCATGCAGAGGCTAGTTTAGTGGACGTAGAGCTGTTTCGTCGAAACGTTCAAAATTTCATAAGTGCCCAATTTGTGTGAGCGCTTAATGCGGTGTCGTGCACGGGCGTGCATGCTCCGCCTTTTTATTGCTGCCCCTTAACTGTAAACAACACCCATTCTTGCTGGGATTGTCTTGTTCCTACTCGTAAGTATGTTATCTCAAACATAAACGTCCAATGTTATAAGAGTTGAGGCTCTATACAATGTATGAACGAAATGTTTCTGTCACTAGGGTGAATATGTCCCAGCGTAGTTTATATGCGGTCCAAAATCAACAGCTTTATCTCGATGATGGCGATTAAAAAACGACATGTCCGAATTTATGACAGTACTTGTTAAATCTAAATATAAACATCGGACATACCACTAACTATAAACCAAATACAACACATTTTGGTTTAGTTGTCAAATGACACAAAATAAACGAGATCATACATTATCGTTAGTTCGTTCGTTATGACACTTTTCATTTTCATCCCTAACACTGACTAATCGAGTCAGCGGTAATGGCATGCAAACAATGAAAATTGGTCGGATTCTTACACTCACCAATCTTCGCTTGGGCTTGATTAAAGGTCGATTCTGGCCGTTCATCTTGTAGTAAAGTCCGCAGGCGTTGCATAGATAGTGTCCCGTACCATCACGCCGCCATAGTGGGGTGCTCGTCGCTCCGCAATTCACGCACTCCCGACCCTCTGCCACATACATGTCACGATCAGTACACAATCATCTATAGCAAACCTCTAATCTAATGGGTAATGTAATGAAAACTTCAAAATGGTCGACTTTACGAAAATAGCTTCGAAATAATAGTTCATTGAATTGATGAAAATAAATTATAGTAGCAAACCAACACCAAAAGTGACATGGTTAGCGAAATGTGTCGAGGAACGAAGCGAACTGAAGCGAAGGTATTTCAAGAGAGTGATTTACCTGTCTCCTGGCAGGCTGGGGAAGATGAGAGAAAAATCACATTCAGAAACATTACTGGTCAAATTTCACTAACGAACAAAACATGCAAACACAGGCTAATACATAAACACATTATTCTTTACAAGTATAATACCTCATGAATGTAATGCTACGGATAATTTTAAAATATTTAATTAACTAGGGAAAGCGCAGCGAGTTTCACTCGAAGAAAAAATATCAAGATTTTTTACACGCAAAGAAAAATTGGAGAAAGTAATGCGAAGCGTTTGTACCTACTTATTATGACTTAGACCATTTAATTGGCTATGTACAGATAAACATTTTTATAAAAGTCATTCAATCGAAATTAGTATGTATAATATAAGTAATAATTTAATTACTAACATAGACTACAGAAAACATGCAAGAAGTATAACTGCTGCTTTTAATAATATAATTTACCATACAAATATCTATTACCACATAGTGCGTCATTTAATATTTCAATATTGGTAGTATAATTTTTAAAAAATTCGGATGTAGTCATTAGGCACAGTAAGTTTATTTGATAAAATATAACATTAATAACTACAATTACAGCAAATTGGCGTTAAAAGTAAATGAAGGTAGCTACAATCTTACGTTGGTATAATAAATAAATAAATGTTGCAAAACATTCGAGAGCAACGAGCACCAAACAGAGCAGAACCGGAGTTATAAAGTAAACTATTACCTACATGCTAATTTTTACTCTATATAATTGTACATTCGTGTACGTAAGTACATACACGTCTAAAACAATTTTCAACGCAAATCATATCATCTCATCGTTAGGATTTCTATTTTGGATTATGCCCTCAGAATAATATAGTTAGGTTAATCTCTACATTAAAAACTTGACCCTAGAACAACGCGTAAATCTAAAACTGTATGAATAAATACATTTATAAGGCGTTATCTACTGTATTGTCACCTAATAAATCAAACTAATGAAGCGACGATATACACAAGTTCGTATTTTTAAATAGTTCTTACAATTCATGCTCTATGCAATACCATGCTATTTAAAAATGCAATTTATCAGACCCCAAGATGAGAGCCGCCCTCCGGTAAAATCTATACAAATTGAAACTCTCGAATATCGTTAATTAATTTTAAAGGACGTTAGGAGCAATTTGATCGAACTGGATTATGGTTAACTTGGTTAGTGAGAGGATGTGTTCACATATGGGATGCGTGTGCGCCGCCCACAATCTTTCTTTAAACTCGATTACACGATCGATGATTTACAGAGATCGAATTTAGGAACTCGTTACATCTTCGCATCCTCTCTCCTTGAAGAGATGAAATGGAATTATTAAATACGACGACTATGTCAAAAATACTAACAGAAACATAAATATAATTTTATTTATGTAATGTAGAACCACAGTATATTGCGAATATTGTACTTACAAATGTGTGTGTGTTACTAATAGATTGTTTTATTAATCGCACGTGAATCTATCGATGTGTATCTACTTATATCATATACGCATCTAGATCTGATTACTTATGTCCCAAGGCAGACACCGTCCGTCGCTATTATGAATAACTAATATGCAAGGATCCCACAGAGGTAGGTGAAAGTGTTCGATTATCCTTAGAAAAAAATCTATAAATATATACCCAAAACGTTTTACAAGCTTTAGGCAGCGCGGCCATTCATCTTTTTTATGTAAAACCAGATCACAACCGGCAATTAAATCGCCCGGACCTTATCGAAAACTTATTGCGATCGAACCGACGACTCACTTTTTGGTCTAACCCTTTATATTTTTTGTTGCTTCGATAAAGCCTGTAATTTAGTTCGAACTTCATAATAAATAAACACCAATAACGATTATTAGGAAAAAATAACAGGATATTACAACGAACATGATGTTTTATGAGTGTCTCTTGTCTAGAAGCGGGACTGATTTAGTTCAATAGTAACATCTCTATTGGTAAAAACGTTTGTGAAAGTCGCTCCAGTGGACGGCCGCGGGCGGCGGGGCGTTTTACGAGATTTACAGCCGCCTGCCTTCATATATCGACATTACACGTATTATTATGAACTGTATCTCTGATTAATAACTATACAATATAATTGTTCAATCCGGTCCAATCACACCGATAACTGTTTTAATATGTTCACACCGAGAGTTACTTACATCTTAATTTCTTTATTTCCCTTTGAAGCCATCACGTGATGCGTGTAGCGGTATCTAGCAGCCACAGTATTAACGAATTATGAAGATAATATTCCGGGTGTAGGGTAGGATATGACAGTGAAATTAGCGGGTACGACCGCATAATATCTTAGTCTTTAATTTTCTTACAATACTTTCTTACAGTAACAGTACATTTAGTAGTGACCGTTATGAGTTCGCGACCGACTATTATCACTTCACTAAAAACTATGTTATATCCAATAGACATTTCTAAATAGAACTTAAGACAGAACTAGAAACAAGACTTTTCCAGAGAAAATAGGTGTTTGTTTTAAATTAGAACGCGGCTTGCTCTTTATTGCCCGGAGTGACGCGGTGCGGTCGTGACGCGACGGCGCTACGTGACCGCGATAAAAGATTTTCATCTGCCATATTTACGTAGCGAGTGGGCGGTTTTTATTTTTAAGAGTCTCCTGACTGCCACTCATTACTGTAGGGAACGCAAACTTTTCACACGGCCTGCTCGATCGGTCGAGTAGTAGCGTAGGGAAAACAACTTAGCGCGGAGTCAATCCCGCCGACGAGGGTGCGAGTCGAGTGATGTTGACCGCTCAGAACTACCGATGCGTTCACAATATGCCAACGGGCTGTTACTACTCAATGAAACCACGAGGTAAAAACACCAAGACAGTCACGTACAACGCTAATGTGCACGGGGTAATGTAATTTAAATGAAGGACTAATTCGCTCCCATGTACCGTGACGCGCTCTCTCGCCGCATCGGCCCATCAACACGTAACGGTGAGGCTATTTTGCATACAAACCATTAAATTATTGCTCAAAACTTATTCTCTGTTGCGCCACAGAGGCTGTTATTACGCCTTAATTATATGCCTGTATGCAAATAGAAAATTTTAATGGTAGCCGATGGTCTCGCGGGTTTCGTTTTTTTTATTGAGCATTGTGTTGCCAGGAAACATTCTAGATTGTGCAAAAAATACGAGTCATTGACAGTGGGATCTTTTTCTGCAGCGGTATTACGAATGACAGTACTCAGTGGGAGCCGTAGGAATGAAGTAATTTTTCATCGCGGTGTTGCTGCCATTTGGGGGCAAGCAGAGCTGGCCGGCCGGTCTAATGACGCGGTTTGTAGCCGGGACCGCGATCCACCAGCCTGCCGCACATCATTTGCATATGTTGCCGATAATTACCTACGTGTGACGAGCGGTCGCATCCTCGACGAAGCTACGTATCTACAGTTGCAACGAACCAGATATAATCGCCATACCGGTCAACGCTTGATGCACAGTGTACACACAATCTGCTTCTTATTACTTACTATAATTTACTTATTATTCTAATGAAATAAACACGCATGAATCTAGTAAAACCCGTTCGCCCGCCCGTCTAATGTTGAGCAAAAATAAAAACATTCACGAGGCCAATGGTTTCCGGGTAAACGTTTAGATGCTTAACATAGCAAAATAAAAGCTCTATAAGTTATCTTAAACTGAAACCGTATTTGGAATTTAATTCCATTATAATTTTGAGTTAAACTCATTAGTGTGACATTTTAGATATTATAATAACGGTTAAAATTGAAATATAACAATGGGCAACACAAAGTATAGGTGTTATAAAACGATCATAAAGTAGGTACGTTGTCCTGTAATGCATGCTTAGTAATTTAATTAATCACAAAAGTTCCACGGATGTTTAACGTAAAATGCAAATTTGGACTGCAATTGTATCTCACAATGTACGCCGACAGACCGTGACGAATTTACTATACATAAACATAAACGCGCCTATATACAAAACATGAAAATATTCATTAGTGCCGTGTACCAAAACAGCATAGAATAATGTAATAGATTATTTTTTACATATTAAACGGCACCCGCGCTAACGCACGCCAGTATAAAAATTTGCTAAAGTAATTGTTTTGTAGATAACATAAATCATTCCACTCGCAAATTTTAAATTAATTACTAGAACAAAAAATTACGTCGGCATCAAATTAAATACTTGGACATTGAGAGATCGTCCCGACTTCATTCCTTCTAATCGGAAGTCCGTAACGCGTGCACCGCGTCTCTAATTGGTTGCACAACAGTTTGTGCGCAACAAAATGTTGCTGCGGTTCTGCAATTGATGAACTAAAGTAGTTCCAACGTATTTTTATTTATGTAATTGTAATAACAAGCTTCCGGTTCACCTGATAGAAGCGGTATCTGTGGTCCCTACAGATGAACAGCATTACGGAAATTACGTTATCATGTGAGGATTACGATATCATGCTTTTTATACGAAAATTCGAATAATCTTTCCCTAAATCTGAAACACAACTTAGAAAGCAAGCCTTTGGGCTGCAATAGGTAAGACTAATTAAACCGTATCATGCCCCCATAAGTACCTATATATATATATATATCTGGATGTAAAACAACGGCTAGAACCCAACACAACCAAACAATGCTGCTACATTTGAATTGTTATTAGTACATAAAATTGTTGAATAATTTAAATGCCATTTAAAGTGAACGTAGCATTGTTTTAGAAAGTGTTGAATGGAGCAGTTTGTTAAGAAATATACGGCATAATAACCACAATAGGCTCAGGTTGGGATTGTAACTAGCCGGTTAGTATTTCAATTGCCCTTTCTGACATTCTTCAAATATATTGTGTTCATTAACTGTAGTCACGATTTTTAAATGCAACTAAATGTACCACCATGTTCTTTTAATCTTAATAATAGCAATATTTTGTTATTGTAGGTATAGCCAACGATAAAGCTAACATATTAATTACTAGTTCTTTATCGAGTTAGATTATGTAAAAAAACGAGTGACATGCGAACAACTTGTTCATGTCTTTATTTTATTACTAATTAAACTAAATAATATAGTACTAACGATAGAACCAATTTTGATGTAAGTTGTGACTAAGTAGTTAGGGGCTTAATTGGTGCTATTGCTAATAATTCTCATTTGAAATAGTACTATAAAACATAGACATTCCTCTGTTTCAAATAAGAATTGTTAGCAAGATAGCTATGTAGCTTTATATGAGAAATTAAGAGAATACTTAATAATTGAAAACATATTCTTAACGTGTTAAATCTAGACCCAAGTTGCAGCACTACGGTATAGTCATTTGTTTTTAAACCGTTCTGTTTTATATAAGAACGTTGTGGACTCGAGGTCAAGCGATCGGCAACAATGGAATGGGCCATATCCGGCAGTGCCGCATTATCATAATACTGTTTCCACCAAGGAACTGCCGGCACCAGACATACTAACACTACTCCATATTCATCCTATACGCGACCAATTTGTATATTCCCTCGCGATGTCTCGCATTAAATTGTATGACCACTAGTATTGTTCTATTATCATAAATTCGCGGATTAATAAAATTATATTTGCAATTCTATAGCTAAATGTATATTCATATATATGATCAAATTATTAATTTTATTACGAAATTCAAATATGCTTTTTATAATTTGTTTTTAATATGCTACAGACTTAATTTCATTTGAGTTGTATCAAATTTTCCTTTGGATACTTTATATATCGTACTTTCAATTAAAATTAATCTTTTAACTTCTATTTAAATGCTGTTTTATACTAAATACCTACTTTCATTAGAAACTGTATCTTTAGCTAATTACATGGCCCAATGGTAACTTTACTTTGTTTTTTTTTTTCATTTATTTAATACATTTTCATTCACGTAAATGTAATATGAGGTGAATTTTTTGGACACGTCCGTTTACAAACTCTTATCTTTTTCCATTTATGTTCTAATTTGCTAAAAAAGTATAACTTTTTTAATACTCATGATATAAATCTTACATCAATTAACTAATGCGTTACAATATTTATAACGACAATGTAAGACAATGAACAATTAATTAAACAAATGAGCTGATAGTCAATTTCCAATTACGCACACGTCTAGTAGCGTACCTATTAAGTTTTTACTATAATTAACATGAACACGTAGAACGGAACAAAAAACGGGTAACGACGCGTAAACATTTATAGTATTTGGGTTTAGATCGATTCATGGTAAATCAGTGTTCATGATCGAATGATTTACATCATCATAGTAATATTAGAGACCCGCCCCAACATTTCAAAGTTGCCACTGTAGTAATAGTATTTATAGGACTCGTTAAAAAAACGCTCATAACGTTTTATAGAAGAGTAAGAATTTTTTAAATTTAATTTATTTGAGATCGAGGTAATATGTTTTTCTCTTCAATTCATCCCTGATCGCAGTCATCTCGTTATTTACTCCTTTTCTTACCATATCATCTTTCACACATTCATCCATATTCATTACAACCTTCCATACTCATTGCAAACAAAAAAAATTTAGTCTTACTTCTTTTACTATATGACTAATTGAATTTCTATTCCCTCCAAAACATGCTGTCAATATGAGCTACGCTTCAACTCTCTCGATATGACACTAAATATTACAAAGTACGTAGTTTCTACTAGCAGATAAATATATCAAGTAAGACCTTAATTTATTATGATTTTATATACTAATTAGTGAAATAGCGATAGAGTAACTACAATGTAACTATAGTTATTTAACTTTAATAAAGTACTTAAGCTGCATGAGAGCGGTGTTCAACTTTAAAGTGAATGATGTTGCAGACACTTTGATATCTCCAGAATACGGAACAAGACAATTTGACACGTTGATATCTGTATAAAGACGTCAACTATCGCAATTAACATTGTGTCTAGCATTTTTCAATATTTTCTAATCTGTGAGAATTCCATTACTTAGATCTTGACAGAGATGTTCGTGGGACCGTACACGCTATGCTCAACCATTTAAATTTTCACAAAATATTGGATAAACATAATTGCAACGGTAATTCTATTTTTACGTTAGACCATATTAACAGTCACTCTACATAATGCTGTCCATTCATTACTCTAATAAGTAGAGACAATAAGTGAGGGCCGTTTTTAGTTCCCGTCCATTGTCAAAGTTTAACTATGAGAGTCGTAATTACATTTTAAAATGTAAAATAAAGCTGCATTATGTGGTGTTAATATAATAACTGTTGAGTAATTCGCTGTTATTATTAGCGACCGCAGATAGAAAACTCGATGGTCTGCAGACTATGAAAATAGTCTACCTAAAACCTGTTTAATTAGGTGTATTTCTTTAATTTGTATTACAATTAGGTGGACGGAGTCTAAATGAGTATACTTCATTTTTCACCACATTTTTTTTATTTATACAATATATATGTTAAATGTAAGGTAAAACCACTGCAATTGGACTCTACCAATATACACAAAGCTGTCACTTTAGTAAGTTCATTCGTTTAGTTTTTTTTTTATAATTAACTGTAATGACTTGGCAGTTTAGCTGAAATATATTTTATTAAAATTATATTTATGGAATTTATTTGACATCTTAAAAGCCTTTGTTTAATAGCATACCTATTTGAGACAATAGCAGCAATTAAATAATGAGAAAATGGTCTGGTTAGCTTGGTCAACATCAGACGAGGCCGCGAAAGTTCACATAGAACCGGGAACAATGAGTTAAGTCACATCGAGCCACGCTGGCGAATTTCAGAAGCACACCACGTAAATCACATTTGTAAGTAATATTGAATAGATATTGAATACGACTAAATACTGAAATCCTAATTAGTGCCTACAACTAAAGTCGAAAGGTTATTATAAAAAATTGATACTACTACCTACTACTACCCCATTAAAGGGGATTATCCTTGTGTGTAAATAATCGGGTCGGTAATTTATCAATTTTTAGGGTATACCCTAAGAATACCGTCAGCTGTAAGAAATTAACAGAACGTTAGTTAGTAACACCTCCACCAGTTATCAATAGCAGTTAATAAGCGTTAGTTAACATCGACACGATCCCAAGCCGATTTCGGCGAGCCGATGGCGATGCGATGCCGTGTTAGATAGAAAACGTGTGGCGCCACAACCCCCAGTGCAAGAACCACGGTTATCCGACCACATCTCACATTCCCTAAACATTATACTACAATGCAATTTCAAAATATCAAACGAAATATTAATCAAAATTAATAAATCGCCATTGTACATGAGACAGTCTGCAATTGTAATTATTATCGGCATAACCATTTTGTATAAAGGCTTCAATTAACAGACCTTGAACGGTGCTCTCTATTAGATTTATTGACTGATTAAATAAGATTTTTATTAGTGAAAGTTATATTACATCTAATCATAAGCTACGATCCGTATACCTGCAGGCACGGGTTAACAAACAAGGTGGCAGTGTGAACTATGATAGAACCGATTAAAGAGGAGAACGTCGGAGCCTGTGATCGGATAAGCGTCCAGCGAGTGGAGTGCAACGCAGCGAGAGCAGTGCAGTGGTTGGATAGTCCCCGTGGACTCACCGGCGCTCGTTCGCGTCTTGTTCGGCCGCGGCTTATTCTGCTGCTGAGCCCCACTAAACCCTTTCCCCTGGTAGTTGTAGTAGTCGCCGCCGGCGGCATTGTATTGCGCGTTGTATTCGCCGGAGGGCTGACTCGACTCCTGGGGACACGAGTCGGGCTGCGCACCTTCGCGCTGCTTCGACGGCGGCGCCCCCATCATAGGTTTGACGTCGCCGCACAGCGGCAACTCCTGCTGCTGCTGCATGAAGGCGACGCTCATGGCGGTCGCGTGCGCCACCGCCGCCTGGTAGTCCTGCTGTCCTAACGCGGCCGCAGCCACCGAGTCTGGAGTTGAATCCTTCGGTGGCGTCGGAGGGAACGAGAACAGGGGATGAGGGTGGTGGTGTTGCGCAGGTGACAATGGCTTATCAGCAGGCGCGGCGTCCTGCTGGAATCCGCTACCCCACGCCCCGCTGCCGAGCGCCTTCGACTCTAACCACGGATGCAGCGGCGTGTGGAAGTGCGGCCGACACACCTGCCCACTGCTGCCGCTTAGCGTTCGACCTGCACACACAGAAACAGACTATTAAAATAACAATAATAAGTAATTGTCTCTTTCATTCTGAATAGCACTATAATCGTAAAAACTATTCTGTGGTTAAAATACGGAAGAATAGTAAACATCTCCAACAAACGGTGTTAAGATTAAGATACATTTAGAACTATTTGATTTTCGAAGCAAGTCAAAGTTTATGAGCGTTTAAGTGACCATTACAAGGCTGACAGAGATGTAAGTACAGATACGAAAGTCATTGTAACATGAGCCTAAACATTGCAACTAGCCGTCATTAGGGCGAACAATTTGAAGGCGTTTTCTACCACGCCCGGGCGTACCTAAATTAATATCATTTGTACATAACAACTGGTCTTTCACACGACATCTTCATCGAGTGTAGTTAGTAAATGTAGTTATGAATATTCAAGGTTTTAATGTGTATTTAATAAACAAATAATGGGTTGGTTTAATTCCGTGGGTTTCGATGGTTGCGTCCGTGAACAAAAGGCCGCTGTTTTCAAAAATATTTCAAAAGTGCCGTGTCACAACACTGGGCAATTAAAATAGTAGGCCAGCTGGAAATCTCATTAATTATGTGCATAGTGGTGTCAGTTTTGATGATACACTGTGTTGATTTGTTTGCGGACGCCGTTATTTATGTTTTGCTCAGTGGATTCATTTAATTCCATAAGAAAATTAATTTTGCGAAACACTGAATACATTCTGTAACTATTTTGCAAAATAACTAATTTTCTAGCTAATGATAGCATTAGCTACAATTTTTTAATATGTTATCATGATATATGTGCATATATATATATAAAAGTTCTGTACGTGTATTTGTCACCTAACTCATCCTAAAATACTGAACCTATCTGAAATAAATTTTGTGTATTTGAAATATTCAATAGTTTCCAGTAAGGTTAAAGTGTACGATTCGTTAATACTGCAAATTAATTGAAATACCCGTGCAAAACCGGGTTAAGCCATATTGATATTGCAATATAACATGTTTTTTTAAAATAAGTACGAACATGGGAACCTCGTATTGACACCCCATTTTAATTTCACAAACTACATTCCACAATTATTATTTATAAGTGAAAGCAAACATATGTACGGGAATATTCGAGGGAGCTCGTATCTGGACGTCGATTGGTCGGGTACAGTTGGGGTACATCCCTCCACGTTACTCCCCGTGGTATGCCAGCATGAACCATTATAGTTGGTACATCCCGCGGGGCGCTGCTAGTTTCACAATAATTACAGTTGCAAATTACGTGTTTCAATAGTTCTGATGTTTCGGAAGCTAGTTTTTTAGTTCCATATGTCTATATTTTATTAAGAAGATGACACACTGCGCTGACCCCAAAAATAGAAATAGAAGACATAGAATTAATCTTTATTGAAATAAAATTCATATAAGCACTTTTGAATAGTCACATTGTTTTCTACATATTCGGAACGCAGACTTATCACAAGTAGAATGAGCAATAATCTGATAACTGAACTTTGGATAAATGAAAGATATAAAGGCAATGCAATGATGATGCATTTTGTACATAGACTATTATATAATAATAAACAATTTGACATATAACAAATAGTAACGGAAATAATCTGCCATATTTTTCACCTAACCTCAAAAATCAGAAAATTCATATTTCGAATTCTAAGCTAAAATAAAACCAGAAATGCCGCTTAATTAATGCCAATATTATAAATACGAATTATGTCTGCCTGTTTATTATATTTTGACAACAGGGCGAATAAACTAATTACAATAAACTAATTAAATCTTAATGAAGCCAAAATATCTTTGGAGCAATGCATGCTAAAAGAACAACTTTTGATGTTCTTGTCTGTCTGTCAGTATGTCTGACTTTATATTTATAAACGCTGACCACGACCACGGTTGCCGTTTACCATCAGATGCTTGTGTGCCGCAATCGTAGTGTAAAAAAACTTCTTCATAGAACCGAATAGATACAGTTTCCACCGATATACTGCTGCAGGTCTGCTCTTTTTTACCGCCGAAAAATAATATATTACAAAGAGCGGGTGTCTATTTTAATATATACATCTACTGTTCTCAATAAATTCACTAAATCCGTTTACTCTCAAATGTATTATATATCTAATAACTATCTATCCAACAGAATCACCAGTACATAGGTAATACGAAGGTATTCAATAGATACACAGCCCGCATCCACTGATCCAGGTGTCGATCGCAGGCCGAGATTATCAGCGATTGTTATCACAAGGGCACCCGTACATTGCGGCTCAATAATGGGTAGATTCGTGGGGGAACGAACTGTACCATATGAACTGTACATTGAATATCGAAATTGATTAATTAATGGAAAACTCACGAATAATGGATGGAACGTAATAACATTATTATTATTAATATTAATAATAATTTATTTGCTCAAAAAACACAGTATAAAAGATGATAATTAAAGCTTAGTATCATGTGTTTTGCCATAGTAGTGGCATGCAAAATAGTATTGTTTAAAATTATACATAATTAGTAGTTGTACCTATATTTTTTGTCTATTGATTAATCAATAAAGTTAAATTACAAGCCTAAATAATATACATATTCTAAAATCAAATTTGCAAATAATCAATTCAGGACCATACGAACGTGCAAAAAATATAAGTACTTACTATATATTATATATTTTACAAAAATTATCTATTTTGCCAATGAATATTCCATTAAAAGGTTTTTTAAGTGTAGTCAAAAGTTATCATTTTATTTCTGGATTAAATGAAAATCAGAAATACACTTTGTTAACGTTGTAAGTTGTATTGTTATTACGATGATATTGTTAGATACGACGTCTGCGTGCAAAGATAAAAAAAGATATCACAGCGTCGAGACGCCACGCCGACGTTGTATTATGTACTAGTATTTAAAGTGGTGTCCAACACATTTGTGTTTATTTATAAAGACAAGGATTATATAGGATAACTACCCCCTTCTAGGCGTAATATATAGTTTTAGTTACCATCTTCTATTTGAATATTTGCAACTCAAAAAATTGCAAATATACAAAAATATTAAATCTTTCCTCTTACTTAATATAGATTAACCATTTAAGAAACGAAATCTCAAAATGAATTTAACCAAATTACAAGTGGAACTGAGCATCGATCGTTATAGTCATTATATTAAACAATATTGAATAAAACTATAATCAATCCGTCCCTGCGTCACATTAGACCGAGTACATACAACGTTTTGACATCGTCCACAACAAGCGGGAGCCACCCCTTGTGAGTTAGGCCGCTTTACAATAGCCCCGCGATGGCGGGCCGATAACGCGCGTATGAATAATTCCTGTTATCGCACCATCTCGCCACATGCCCTACCTGGCCGGTACCACGATTCCCTAAATCAGCTTGCATGCGACAGCATAAACCGTACACACCAATAAAAATTTTACTCAAGCGACAACCAACTCTTTAAGCATAGTAAACTCAGTAGCAGTCGACCACCGGTGCTTTATTCATTAGAGGGCTGTTTCGGCCATTGTGCTAGATATCCCAGTTGCTCTACTAAGCCTTGATTGTTTGGGGATTTCGTGTTTTATGAGCTGAGAGACTTTGTAAACAAAAACTGTAAGTACTTACTCTGAATAGGACGGAAATTAAATTAGGATTCGATATCTCCAAATCTTTAAGTTTTATCGCTTATATAATATATAGTAGGTACTTAAATACTTATTGCGTGGTATACCTACGAATAATACAAATAATACTCGATAGTTTTTGAAGATTGAATAGAAATAAACGCAAGCTCACAACTTAATATTCATATAAGTACGTATAAGTAGTAAAAAGTATTCTACTATCATATACCGCATATATATTACCGCATTATACCGCATATGTTAAATAAAAGTTACCAAATTCATATAAATCTCTCATTGATCCGTGATAACTGGTGAAAGAAATTTTAACTTTTATACCCAATACTATCTGTAGCACACTACGGTCGCTCACAGAAATTCTAGTAAAGGGCATCCTATGTATTAATTTAAGATATGTCCTATGAGTACTCTAAATATCATTCAAATCCGTTCAGTATTTCTGCGTGAAAAAATAAAAAACATTCATCTATCTATACTCACGAAAGTTAACTCTTATAATATTTATTGCAAATCAGATTTAGCTAATCACAACAATACAAGGAGTTTCAGGAACTACCCACAGAGTATACGTAACAAAACACCGGAACTGTACCCCAAGCTATGCCCCCATGTGTCCCACTGGCCTGCACAGGCAGATGTAGCGAATAGATCTTATCATGATGAGGCGCCACAGGGGTACTTGCAACTTGTTAAAATCGATGCACTGCTACACCCGTCTTGTTTACTGTCTGTAACGGTTTTTTTACAACCCCTTTGGGTTTTTATACTAAAATTATGTTAAAATTACAGCTGGAGGGCCAGCATTTTTGGCCAGACAAACGAAACGTTACGTTGCCTTTAAATGATATTTCTTAGCATATTTAATTAAATATATATATACATATTATATGGCATCGATTAGTAATTGCATATAATTGCAAACTCATAATTTGTAAAGCCAAATCAAATAAAATTCAGCTACAGTTAACATTGAGAACTTATAATGCATTAAGATTTAGCTTAGATGCCTCATAAATACCACTTACTGGCATCTGAAAGATAACAGATTTTAATGCTCACAAATTATTTATTGAAAACATTAGATCTTAACGAAATATATATCAATTCTCAAAAAAATATACTAAGTACAGTCAATATTAAGATATCTAAATAAAGAATATACATCTACAAATATTTACTGTAGTAAACTATATAAAAGAATGTTATTCATAAAACACATCAAATCTTACATTAACTCTAATTCCATACGCCCCACACTTCCATCCACAAAAGTATAAAGGCGTGGCCATATCGAAAGCGAACTCCCTCCTTTTTGTATTCCTTGGCTGGCGACGAAAATTGCC